GAAGCCAAGTTGGATCCACACAGTCCCCCCCCTTCCCAAGAACATTCCCAACGACGCTTCGACCCACATTCGCCCCAAGACTGGAGAAGCAGAGGCCACCTCTGCCTCACCTTACCAGGTCCCCACTTCCAGACCTTTGCACTGTGCCACCACTGACCCCCGACCTCCGCAAATCCCCCAGCCCCCCTCCCCGAAGCTCAGCTCAAGACCTTCCATGCAACCATGTCCACTCCTCAGGCCACTCAACTCCCCTGGAGAAGAAGAGGGTCCTTCCCTCGGGGTCTCAATGGGGGAGGGGGGGAGGAAGAGGAGAGGCAAGAAGCAATTTATGCCTTGGAGGGGGGGGGGAGAGAAGAGAAGGGATCCATCCCCCTGTGCTAAAACTGCAGAGAAAGCAAAAAATAAATAAAAATAAGATTGATAGCCTAAGGAACTGCCCTGCAGGGGGAGGAGGGGGATTTGGCTCCTGAATTTTAAAATTGACCTAGAAAAGCAAGTCAGGAAGGACCACCGAGCCCCCCCCCCTTGACTTTCACAAGGGACCTGCTACCCCCCCACCTCTGGCCATCGTGCACCCCTGCCCTCTGTCCTCCCCCGCCTTCCCCCTCACCCCAAATCCTCCGTGCCGAGGGAAGGCTCCTACCATTTCACCGGCTTCCCTCCCATGGTCCGAATGGGGCTCTGGCCTCGTGCCCGTCTCCTGGCCAGCCTGGGTCTTCACATGCCACATCCCCCCTCCGCCAGCCTGGCCCTCCTGCGCCAAGGAGGCTGGCCAGACGGAGGCAGGAACCTTCGGCCCAGGTCGGGCGAGATCTGCCGTGGGAAACCCCCCCCCCCTCCCTTGAGCCGTGGTGCCGAAGAAGTCTTCCCCGCTTCTTCTCCGAGAGAGGCGAGTCCCTTGGGGCGGCCGTCCTTCCTCAGCTCCGCTGGGGTGTCGTTTTGTTTTGCACTGTTGCGTTGCGGGTCTGACGCATGCCCGAATTCCGCTGGGCAGCCCCGAGAGCGCGAGAGAGCGAGCCAGCTGTCTTGTGTCTCCTTCTCATCCCATCCTGGACCGCCGAGTCCTTTCCCAGCCACTCGGAAGAGCCCCGATTGAGACGGAGGATCGAGGCCCGGTGGGTCGCGTGGGGTGGCAGGGAGCCAGCCGTTCCCCCCCNGAGAGGGAAAAAGAGAAAAGGAGGAAGAGAGGGAGAGAGATGGAGAATATAGCAATAGCAATAGCAGTTAGACTTATATACCGCTTCCTAGGGCTCTCAGCCCTCTCTAAGCGGTTTACAGAGTCAGCATATTGCCCCCAACAAACAGGGTCCTCATTTTACCCACCTCGGAAGGATGGAAGGCTGAGCCAATCTTGAAAAGGAGAGAGGGAAAGAAAGGAAAGGAGAGAGAAGGGGGAGACAGAGAAAAACAGAAAGGAGAGAGGGAAAGAGAGAAAAAGAGGTATGGAGGAAGAGAGATGGAGAGGAGGAGAGAGGGAAAGAGAGAGGGAAGGAGGGAGAGGGGGAAAAGGAAAGAGATGGAGAGGGGAAGAGAAAGAGAGGAGGGAGAGAGAGGGAAGGAGGGAGATGGAGAAAAGGAGAGAGGGAAAGAGAGAAAAAGAGATAAGGAGGAAGCGAGGGAGATGGAGAGGAGGAGAGAGGGAAAGAGAGAGGGAAGGAGGGAGAGGGGGAAAAGGAAAGAGATGGAGAGGGGAAGAGAAAGAGGGAAGGAGAAAGAGGAAGAGAGAGAGGGGAAAAAAAAGAGGGTGACAGTATTTTCAGGGGCTTCCTCCGGAGGAGCATCACCCACCCGGAGCCCCTCTTCCCCACCCGAGGAGATCCTCCCAGCCGGCATCTCCCAGACAACGGGGAAAGGCATCCGAAGGCACTGACCCATTTAATGCTTCCCCCAAAGAATTCCCCGTCCTGCGAGGGTGAGCAGGACTTAACGGACCATTTTCCCAGACGGAGCCGGGACAAAAGGGGGACGAAAGGGCAGAGAAGGGGATTAAGCGAACGAGGGAGGCGAGAGAGGCTCCCCTGCTCTTCCCGAGTCGGCCCCCACGGCTGAGCCTGGGCGCACCGGGTGTCTCGTGGGGCCTCCGAGAGCACACTAGGACCATATATACAAAGCATCTCACCCCCCTGGGGATGAGGAAGAGGAGGAGGAGGGTCAGTTTTGGGGGTGTCCCATTCTGAAACGGAAAAGCAACGTCCTGTTCCGGGTTCAAATCCCGGAAGGTTACGATCTCTTCTGCAACGCAATCGCTCCCCGTGTTGGGTTTGCACCCAGTTTCCCACGCAGTTCGGATGCCCCGCCGCGTTCTTGCCCCTTGGCACACCGACCCCCCTGGAGAGTCCCCCCCTTGCTGCAGGCCGGCAATCTCGGTGCAACAGGAACTAGGAAGCTCCGGGTGCGAATACTTCCCCCCCCCCCAGCCCCCATCTTTAACCTTAGGCCAGTGTTTCTCAACCTTGGCGACTTTAAGTCCTGT